CTGGTTCTTCAGTCTGGCTCATACTAAACTAAAAAATGCAGCATTGCTCTGAAAGGTCAACCTGCCATAATACTTAAGCTATGTTATTTATTTTTTTGTTTTGAGCATTGTTTACTAACTGGTTCTTCAGTCTGGCTCATACTAAACTAAAAAATGCAGCATTGCTCTGAAAGGTCAACCTGCCATAATACTTAAGCTATGTTATTTATTTTTTTGTTTTGAGCATTGTTTACTAACTGGTTCTTCAGTCTGGCTCATACTAAACTAAAAAATGCAGCATTGCTCTGAAAGGTCAACCTGCCATAATACTTAAGCTATGTTATTTATTTTTTTGTTTTTGTTTTTGTTAGGTTATTAAAGGTCGGTGTCTTCAGAGTACTTGGTAAAAAGGCACATGTTAAGACACGTGACCCCATATTTTTCACAGATGACGTGAAAATAAAAACTTTGTGCTACCTGAACATCCACTAGTAAAAATAAATTTCTTCAGGAATGAAATGGTTAATGTTCAATTCTGTAAAATTTATCATCAACCTGCTTATATACATTTACATATCTTCTGCTGTAAGCATCAGAAATTGATTTCTGTTGTATGTACCAAAGGAGATGATCATTGCGGGTCAATCTCCCTATAGCAATTTGACATTAAAGCTTCTCTTGGTTCTAGAATGGATATTGCTTTTTTCTGGCACCACTGACAACTGTCTGTAACTGTAGACAAATGCTGCTGTCCTTCTTACACCACCACTCTGATACTGTCAGTTTCAATCTCACTCAGATGACCATAAGCATGAGACTGTGAAGGAGAGGCTTTAACACACTCAAGGCTGTGGAAACTCTCTTCCTTGGAATTCTTTCATAAGCCAACTGCACTATTGAACTGACAAGTTCAATATTTCTACGAAGTGATATTGTACCACTGAGAATTATTTTCCATATAACTAAGGTTTTACTTTTGGTACAAAAAGTTCAAATTTGAGTGACAGAAAATGTAGGGATAATGTGATGAGACTAGTAGGACGTAAGTCAGTGGATATGATGCAACATTTAATATTCATTGGATATATTTCATGTGTGTTTACTTTTTATCTGAACATATATCAAATGAACTCTTGGGGGTTTTTTGGATTTTTTTTATTTATTTTTTTTCCCATAAAAATCCTATGATAAGTACAGTATATTAGTTTAGAAACATTTTGACTTAAGTTTAAAACTGTATAATCACATGGATTTACATGTGCACAGTCAACGAGACAACGGGAAATGGCATGCATGTAGAAAGAGAGTAAACAGGAAATCAGCCTAGAGTTGTTATCACCATGGTAACTCATTACAATCTCTTCCAGTCTGTTAGATCCAGGGTGATGTTGGCGGGATCTCAATTTCTTAGATGCTCTATAAGCACGAAAGTGTAAAATGTATGATGACGGAACAAAGTTATTATGTGTCAGTAATAACGGTTCTGGATTCCTCTCCCTGATGGATTCCTGTCAATGTTATGTGATGCTTTTGCAGTATTTTGATGAAATGTCGAATTTATTTTTGTTGCAAAATGATGACCCCCATTTTTAGCTCACCAATTATTTGTTGTGCACAGTCCATTTTCTTGACTGATCAATAAGACAAAATAGTCAACAGATGGCCGTCTTGGGTTTTTAGCCCACATGCTGTATTTAAATCACCCTATGTCTGTCATCCTTCCTTCCAATTCTTGTTATCATTTTTTCTTGAGAATAACTAGTTGGATCTCTCTCTCATTTCATATATAGGTTCCTCTTGGACCTCAGTTTTGCCTGTTTGATTTTTGGATGTATAAGAAAAACAAACTGGCTGACAGTTAGCCATCATACATTTAGTATTGCTAGTTTTCAAAAAGTACAAGACTGATTTGGTCTGATATTCTCCCAGGTCCCCAGCTGCGCATGTTCAGTGTTAATGACTTGAAAAACAGGATAGTCTGTAGTTGGCACTGGCAGGGTATGAATTCTTATCTCAGATGTGCTGGAATAAAGGGAATAGAAGGGAAAAAATCAAACTTAAAACCTAACAAAGATCGCACATTGGTTTGCACCAGGATCCCACTGAGATTTTTTTTTTTCATTATGTTTTATTATTATACACTCTCTAATTTGAATCATCCTTGACATGTATCTGAGTGAAGCAATCGGAATGACTATGCCAAGGTAAAATTCAATGGTTAACACAATAGGAGGTTTTAATGAAAACTGATAACTGATTATGCCAGGTACTGATCACTTGGTAAATCATGGTGACAGGAGTTATTTTTGTATGAAATCTAAGCCATGCGTGGTAGAAGACGCAGATGCTGGGTTATTTCTGGAACAGTTTTAGAAATCATGACTGCCTCCCAAGGGCACACTACCACTGACTTTATTTACAACTGGTCTCGTTTTCTCCCACAATTTCCTTATGTTGCATCAAAATAAATCTTCCATAAATGAAGTATTCAAAGCTTTTACGTGTATCATAAATCAGGTGTAAAAGGAAGCTTGTGACAGATTCATTATAACAACTAAATAAACTCTCATTGGAAGCAATCTATTCTTGGTTTCTGTATTTCTTTCCTCTAAAACACATCCTAAAATAGAATCTTAAAATAGAAGTGTAGGGCTGTCTTGTTATCATATATATCATAACAGAAATATGACTGTAGTAGATCAGCTGTTCTTCTGTATTAATACACATTTCACAGCTGTGAATGAATTTTGATAATTAAAATATCTAAACCTGCAAATGAATCTCCTGCCAGACAGGTTAGGGTACCCCTTAATCCATTGTATCTTGTTTAAACAAAAGTTATCCTGTTCTTAAACCTGAAAGGGTAAATTTTGCAAAGGTCTGATCCTTTCAGCTTAATTTGCCTTCTATTTTAAAAAATGTTTCATTAACTCGTATTTTACCATCTGTCATTTTCTCATCCTTAGTTGAATAACAATTAAATGAAGATATAAAACACCCACAGCAGTATTCTGATTGTTGTTGATGTGTTCTCACACTGTTAACAATACTTTTGTTTGCATTGACACATCATCAGACAATTTTTATATGACCCCTAGAGATCTACCACTCAATAAGAGTTGATGTTGTACAAACACAGTATCTCCTTCCACTTATTGAGAGATGATGTGGTACAAACACAGTATCTCCTTCCACTTATTGAGAGATGATGTTGTTGTACAAACACAGTATCTCCTTCCACTTATTGAGAGATGATGTGGTACAAACACAGTATCTCCTTCCACTTATTGAGAGATGATGTTGTTGTACAAACACAGTATCTCCTTCCACTTATTGAGAGATGATGTTTTACAAACACAGTATCTCCTTCCACTTATTGAGAGATGATGTTATACAAACACAGTATCTCGTTTCTGCTTATTGAGAGATGATGTTGTACAAACACAGTATCTCCTTTCTGCTTATTGAGAGATGATGTTGTACAAACACAGTAACTCCTTCCACTTATTGAGAGATGATGTTGTACAAACACAGTAACTCCTTTCTGCTTATTGAGAGATGATGTTTTACAAACACAGTAACTCCTTCCACTTATTGAGAGTTGATGTTGTACAAACACAGTAACTCCTTCCACTTATTGAGAGATGTTTTTGTACAAACACAGTAACACTAATCTGTGCTGTTAGTTGTCTCGAAAAAAAATGTAGTTACATGCAATTTAAAGGCTAGAATATTTATTTGGCAATAAGTCCATGCCTTGTAATAATACACTCTGGCTGGTTGTCCTTTGACATGCCTACCTTCTTACATTGGGTAAAATGTAATGTATTAAAATGCCCTGTAATAAGCCCACCACCTGACTTTGAGTCAGATGTAAGATGTTGAATTGCCCTGTAATTAGTAATATATTGGATTATCCTGTAATAAGCCCACCCCTGACATTGAGTCAGGTGTAAGATGTTGAATTGCCCTGTAATTAGTAATATATTGGATTATCCTGTAATAAGCCCACCCCCTGACTTTGAGTCAGATGTAAGATGTTGAATTGCCCTGTAATTAGTAATATATTGGATTATCCTGTAATAAGCCCACCCCCTGACTTTGAGTCAGATGTAAGATGTTGAATTGCCCTGTAATTAGTAATATATTGGATTATCCTGTAATAAGCCCACCCCTGACTTTGAGTCAGATGTAAGATGTTGAATTGCCCTGTAATTAGTAATATATTGGATTATCCTGTAATAAGCCCACCCCTGACATTGAGTCAGGTGTAAGATGTTGAATTGCCCTGTAATTAGTAATATATTGGATTATCCTGTAATAAGCCCACCCCCTGACTTTGAGTCAGATGTAAGATGTTGAATTGCCCTGTAATTAGTAATATATTGGATTATCCTGTAATAAGCCCACCCCTGACATTGAGTCAGATGTAAGATGTTGAATTGCCCTGTAATTAGTAATATATTGGATTATCCTGTAATAAGCCCACCCCCTGACTTTGAGTCAGATGTAAGATGTTGAATTGCCCTGTAATTAGTAATATATTGGATTATCCTGTAATAAGCCCACCCCTGACATTGAGTCAGATGTAAGATGTTGAATTGCCCTGTAATTAGTAATATATTGGATTATCCTGTAATAAGCCCACCCCTGACATTGAGTCAGGTGTAAGATGTTGAATTGCCCTGTAATTAGTAATATATTGGATTATCCTGTAATAAGCCCACCCCTGACATTGAGTCAGGTGTAAGATGTTGAATTGCCCTGTAATTAGTAATATATTGGATTGTCATGTAATAAGCCCACCCCCTGACTTTGAGTAAAAAGTAATGTATTGATGCCCAGGAGTCATTTCAGGATAGAGATGGTGATTGACAGAGTTACTGATTATGATTCACCAAACATATCAAGCTATCATTCATGATGACATAAATTGGATGTGTGAAGAAATATGTCTGCTACAAATTGATGACAGAAAAACTAGACTCAAGTTGAATTGTTCTTTGTTTTGTATGTTACAGAAAAAGTGTGGACAGTAACAAAAACCAGACCAAAAAGCCATCCCAGTACAATCCACGCTACCTCTGGATCAGACTGGCGATTTTTGAAAAACAGCTGGCAAAAATACTTGACTATCTAGTACAGAATAACAGGTAAATTGATTACTAAGTAAACACTGTATGTATGTCTCAAAGTTAGAATTATACATATGTAAATATTTATACATATCAATTACATACTGGACTTTCTCGTAGATGTTAATATTGTAATGATTCAAGTATCTTCATGGATATGCAAATATTATTACAGATGGGATTATCATGCAGATGGAAATATGAAGTTATTCAATATTCAGAATGAGATTCATTAGTTTGGTAAAGAAATATTTAATATGTTTATCTTGTATACAGATAGCAATTAAAAACGAGTCTTGATGACAGTTCACTATTTGGTAAATGGACCAAAGTGTAAAGTCAACTATCAAATTGTCGGAACACATTTCCATTCCATACTTAGGCAGCTTTAGTCTAGACTTGGTAAAGCATACAAATCTATCTTATCAAGCTGTTCTCAATTGTTAAAAGTTTTTTTTTTGTTTCCTTGTATTTTATGCATGACTGTAACTGGTAATATTAGTGTGATGTTGCAACTTAGTTTACAATGTCAGTTTCACAGCATGGGATGGCATTTGGCTCCTATATTATTGTGAACAATATGAGCTCTTTGTAAATCTAAGATATTTTTTTGAAATATTTTCATAAACTATGTTGTTGCCATGTTGATGGCGAATATTCATAATTTAAATAAATGAAATTGGAAACTATCTTTGTTATTTCTTCATAACCAAAACAAGCTTTGTCTCTTTTAATGGACAGAATAGATAGCACTCTTATTCTGCAACTGGTCTGAGAAACAGCTGATGTTTCATTCATTCTGTCCGTTATTGGTCATTATAATCTGGTAAAACAGTTTTTGTGCTAAAGATAAACATCTTCTTAAATATAGTGATTAAAGTATTGTCATAGATATGCAACCATTTTGAAATATGTCATGGAGATTATCATGCAGATTATCATGGAAATTATCATGGAGATTATCATGGAGATTATCATGCAGATTATCATGCAGATTATCATGGAGATTATCATGCAGATTATCATGCAGATTATCATGGAGATTATCATGCAGATTATCATGCAGATTATCATGCAGATTATCATGCAGATTATCATGCAGATTATCATGCAGATTATCATGCAGATTATCATGGAGATTATCATGCAGATTATCATGCAGATTATCATGGAGATTATCATGCAGATTATCATGCAGATTATCATGGAGATTATCATGCAGATTATCATGCAGATTATCATGCAGATTATCATGCAGATTATCATGGAGATTATCATGCAGATTATCATGGAGATTATCATGCAGATTATCATGCAGATTATCATGGAGATTATCATGCAGATTATCATGGAAATTATCATGGAGATTATCATGCAGATTATCATGCAGATTATCATGCAGATTATCATGCAGATTATCATGGAGTTTATCATGGAGATTATCATGCAGATTATCATGGAGATTATCATGTAGATTATCATGGAGATTATCATGCAGATTATCATGCAGATTATCATGGAGATTATCATGGAGATTATCATGCAGACTGGAGAATTATTATTTTTGTCCTCAAATATCATTACAAGTTTGAGTATCATATTACTGATGTTAATATCATTACTTATGCAAATATGTTACTGATGTGAGTATTATATGAATATGAGTACTATATGAATATGAGTATTATATAAATATGAGTGTTATATGAGTATTATATTATATAAATATGAGTGTTAAATGAATATGAGTATTATATGAATATGAGTATTATATAAATATGTATTATAGTATTATATGAATATGAGTATTATATAAATATGAGTATTGTATGTATTGTATATGAGTATATGTATGTATTATATAAATATGAGTATTATATAAATATACTATATGAATATGAGTATTATATGAATATGAGTATTATATAAATATGAGTATTGTATGAATATGAGTATTGTATGAATATGAGTATTGTATGAATATGAGTACTATATGAATATGAGTATTATATATTGTATGAATATGAGTGTTATATGAATATGAGTATTATATTGTATGAATATGAGTGTTATATAAATATGAGTGTTATATAAATATGAGTGTTATATATATAAATATGTGTGTGTATATAAATATGAGTGTAATATGAATATGAGTATTATATGAATATGTGTGTTATATAAATATGAGTGTTATATAAATGTGAGTATTAGATACTTGAAGGTTGTTATTTATTCTTGATTAATAATGGATTTTTTAAAATTTATTTTCAGTAAATATTATGAGGAAGATGCCCTTATTTCAGACCCGGTGGATGGACCAATATTTGCTTCTTTACTGGGTATGTTAAAATCAGTTACATTCACCTTAATGATACAGATCATAATGAAAGATTGTAGAGAACAATGTTTACATGTTATATATCTGGTTATTATCTCTGGTGTATATTATGATAGCAGAATTTTCCTCATACAGATTTGCTCCAAGATTGACAATAACCAGAAGTATATATATTGATATTTGTATTCGTTTAGATATTGAAGTAGAGGAGTTAGTATTACCTATGTCACTCATTATTTTGCACAGTTGGGCCATGTGCGTTGGACTACACAAAAATGAAGACCCTTGATCATTACTGGACAGACCCTCCAGCTGATGAACTTGTTCAAAGACATAGAATCCACTCCAGTACAAACCACCTGACAGCAGGACCTGGTTCACCAAAACGTCCAGGACTACAGGTATTGGTCAGATGGATATGTTTATGGAGAAATTTGAAATGTTGCACAGTATAAAGCAAACTCCTTCTAACAGGCTTATTGTAAAAATTGCTCCATTGGCAGTCTTCAGTGAAAGGTTCCTGTCGTCGCCTTCTAGCCATTGTTTTTTGTCTGTTGCTGTGCTCTGTGCACTGTCTGCTACACATAAATTTTCCATCCAAATGACTCTACTTAATAAACGAAAGACCCAGGGTGATTATATTGGGCCTGTAGCATAATTGGATGAAGGGCTACAAAGTTTATTAAAATGAATTACTTTGATCTATTTTCAAGGTCACAGGTGTCCAATATAATAAAATGTTTAAACAACTTCTTCTCAATAACCAAAAGATCCTGGTTGCTGATATTGGGCCTGTAACATGCTGGATTGAAGGGTTACCAATTTTGTTCATGTGATTGACATTTTCTCTTTTTGAGGGTCACAGGGTCAAGTGTGTTTAAATCTTCAAACGACTTCTCACTAATAAAAAGTTCCAGGCAGTTGATATTGGTTCTTTAACATAAGTGGATAGAGGGTTACCAATTTATTCAAATAATTGACCTTGACCTATATCTAAAATCTCTTAGGTCAAATGAGTTGAGATATTTTTTTCAACAAATAATAGGTCTGGAGTAATGGCATTTGTGTAGTAGCATTTATAAAGAATATGATTTCAAGTTTGCAGAAAACGTCTTAATGAACCAGCAATGTCTTCTATGTAAGCTGTAGAGTAGTTGCGCAATTTATCTCAGGCCTTTTTGGCCACTTTCATATATAGACCTTCTTAGTCAGATGATTGTTAAGGCCTGTGGGCATCTTGTTCTAATATCTATTGTCTTAATTGACTTTAAAGATCATTAAGTTTGAAATTTATGATACTTTGTCTGACGCTTACAAGAGGCAACAGGGATAATAAAGTTTCCTAAAGTAATATCATTAATCTTCTGCTAGAGCAATAGACATCATTCCTGAAATATTAATAGCGATGTTCAAATTTGGCCAATATCTTCTTTGGGAAAAGGGTTGGAAAATTCAAATTATCAAATCTTCAGGGGCTGTCAGAGCTGTTCATATGGACACTTTTGACAGAAGTTTTAATGTATAGAAATAAACAAGAATTTGTTTGAACTTGTTTTTAACACCAAGGATTCCAGCTTTGCAGCTTGCAAAGATAATAGATTTTTGACAAATTATTAACTTACTCCATCACAACTACAAGCAGGGTATTGCTACTCTAGATTGACACTATAGCTCTTCAGAACAAGTTACAGAATGATGATATCCTAGAGGGTAAGTATCTAACCTAGAATCAGCTTTAAGGGATCTGCCAAGTGATACAGGCCTAATTTATTAAACTTGTATTGGTAAGTTTCCTAAGTGGTAGTAGCATCACCCTATTTATCCAGTAATGGTATGCATGGTATTAAGCCCACTCATTTCTATTGCTATTCAGGAAAATGCTAACAAATATGTTCTTATGGTTTGCAATAAGCTGACCCTAACCTAACAACTCAAAATCAGATTGTTTTGTTGATGTCCCAGGCTTACTTGTTGTGTTACACTAATAATAAGAAGTAACATTTCCAAGTTATGTTAGACCAAGTATGAGAAGTAACATTTGGGTGTTGTGTTACACCAGGAGTAAGAAGTAACAATTGGGTGTTGTGTTACACCAGGAGTAAGAAGTAACATTTGGGTGTTGTGTTACACCAGGAGTAAGAAGTAACATTTGGGTGTTGTGTTAGACCAGGAGTAAGAAGTAACATTTGGGTGTTGTGTTAGACCAGGAGTAAGAAGTAACATTTGGGTGTTGTGTTAGACCAAGGGTGAGAAGCAACATTTGGGTGTTAGAATTTTCGTGTGCATATTGTATTACACCTGAAGTATGAGGAGTAACATTTGGTTGTTTTGTCGCACCAATTGAAAGAAATAACATTTGCCAAGTAGGAGAGAAGTAATGTTCACATGTTGTGTTACAGACACCTAACCTGGATGTGTTACAGGTCCGACGTAACACCAGTTCCAGCAGTGAGGAAAGCTCCAAGAGTTTCCATCTATCTGCCAAAGACTATGTTGAGAGCCTCCATCAGAACTCTAAAACTACACTTCTGTATGGAAAAAACAATGTCCTGGTGCAGCCTGTAAGTCTGTTTGACATTTTGTGCATGTCTATCTGATCATTGTAAATTCTCTTCACATGTGAAGAATTGCTTTGTGAACTCATTTCATGCTTCAAAAGAGCTTGGGGCTTACATTAACATGCTGACGTATTATTTTAGCAACCAGAACATAAAATATAGACACTGGATGTCAACGCATTTGCAAGAAAACATAATGTATTCAATATTTTTGTATTGGTCAGAAAGAAGATGTGGAGGCATTAGCTGGTTATCTGTCTCTACACCAATCTGCCATGGGACTAACCATCATGTGGACACCCAACCAGCTAATGAATGGATGCTGTGAGGAGGAAAGTGATGAAAAAGACAGGAGGTAAGGAGAGAATAAGAGAAGAAAAATATGGTTGGGAATAGGTAGGGAGGGAAAAGAAGTTCAAAAAATAGTGCGTACTGAGGAAGGGAACAGGAGGAAGGGCAGGGGTTAAGAGTAGAAAGGGAACCAGGAGGAAGGGCAGGGGTTAAAGGTAGAAAGGGAACCAGGAGGAAGGGCAGGTGTTAAGGGTAGAAAGGGAACCAGGAGGAAGGGCAGGGGTTAAGAGTAGAAAGGGAACCAGGAGGAAGGGCAGGGGTTAAAGGTAGAAAGGGAACCAGGAGGAAGGGCAGGTGTTAAGGGTAGAAAGGGAACCAGGAGGAAGGGCAGGGGTTAAGAGTAGAAAGGGAACCAGGAGGAAGGGCAGGGGTTAAGGGTAGAAAAGGAACCAGGAGGATGGGCAAGGGTTAAGGGTAGAAAGGGAATCAGGAGGAAGGGCAGGGGTTAAGGGGAGGAAGGGAACTAGGAGGGGGCAGGTTTTAAGGGTAGAAAGGGAACCAGGAGGAAGGACAGGGGTTAAGGAGAAAAGGAACCAGGAGGAAGGGCAGGGGTTAAGGGTAGAAAGGGAACCAGGAGGAAGGGCAGGGGTTAAGGGTAGAAAAGGAACCAGGAGGATGGGCAGGGGTTAAGAGTAGAAAGGGAACCAGGAGGAAGGGCATGGGTTAAGGGTAGAAAGGGAACCAGGAGGAAGGACAGGGGTTAAGGGTAGAAAGGGAACCAGGAGGAAGGGCATGGGTGACGGGTAAAAAGGGAACCAGGAGGAAGGGCAGGGGTGAAGGATAGACATATCTGTCACCTGTAGCTTAATGATGATAATATGCATAGTAGATAGATCTAAAAATGTTGGATTTTATTGTTTAACATTGTCCCTTTTTTTTAACTTTTAGACATTTCTGTCACCTGTAGATTAATGATGATATTATACTTACTAGATAGATCTAAGAATGTTAGATTTTATTATGTAACATTGTCCCTTTTTTTAACTTTTAGACATTTCTGTCACCTGTAGCTAACAATGATAATATACTTAGAAGATAGATCTAAGAATGTTGGATTTTATCGTGTAACATTTTCCCTTTTTTCAACTTTTTAATATTTCTGTAGCATTCATTGTTTCTGTTCTGTTTTTGTTGTATCTTTTGTTACAGTCAGTCCACCCGCATCTCTCTATATAAATACACACTTACTAAGTCTGTGTACCACAAAGTTCAGTAAGTTTCCTGTGGAGTGAGCTCCCTCAAATTGTTATATATTGGAGTTATTGTCCTTTGTTGGTCATGTGTTTGCAGCCCACAAGTGATTTCCTAGGAAGCTATTCATGCCGTGTAGAATCTTGCTAGATATTTTGGTGATGTCTTTATTACACAAGGGTAAACTCTCATGCTGTAATAGAAGGAAAATACTTCAATTTTACGTGTATTAAGATAATGCATCAATAAAGTTTTAAAAATTAGATTTTAAATTTATTAAAGTAATTCAGAGGAAATATTACAAAATGAAGATATGTGTAAATTATTTTAATTAAAACTGTTTTTAGAATTCACACCAAAATATTTCTATGTAAATGTTAGAACCGTTGATGTCTTGTCCCCATCATTGTACATGCAGCTTGATGCTAGATAGTACACTAGGCTAGAACAGTAATATTGTTAATTCAGTTGCATTACATAGATAGAACATGTGTCCCTTGACATACAACTGATGTACTTTGCGCTGATAAGTTTACCAATAGCTGTGTGAAATATCCTTACATTGATTGGTAAAAAATAGTGGAACATTATGTTACATTTAATCATGTATATGTAAGGTGCTTGTAGAAAGAATTTGGCCCTGGGACATTGACTGCATAGAACTGAAACAAACATAGAAGATGAATTGACAATGTAGTAAAACTACACATTTTAAGTACATAGAACCACTACCATATTTACAATCTACTTTTGTGAGAGTTAGTTTATTTTTTTCTTTCTGGGCACATGGAAAAAGAAAATTACAAACATTTGAAATTTCAACATGACAGAAATGCATGAGTAAATCTCCTTTAACAGACTATTGATACCTTCGGGGGTAATTTGGTATGATAAACAGATGTAGCCGCAGAATGGTGCTTGAGGACCCATACTAGAAATGTATATAGAATTCAAGATTCTAATGAATATTGTGTTTCAGTGATAGAATTTGCTGTTCCCATGGGTGGCAGACATATTTACTGACACTTTTGGTTTAGAAGTTGTTGAGCAGATCACATGATATTATTCTGAGAATGAAAACAGCACCAAACATCCACTCCCATGATGATTTCCACTGGACATGCACTTTAATTCAATTTGAACAACAGTATGACAAATACAACCACTAATAATCACTTAAAAATCAGGATTCATCTTGGAAAATTCCCCTTTATCTTCAGTACCATTTTATTTTGGTGCACGTGTTCATCTATGATTTTAAAATTCAAACACAACCATATTTGCTTATTATACCAAACACGTTGGCCCCCCCCGACATTGAAACAGCATGTTTCAGCTGCTCTCTCTATTTGACAAATAGGATTTTTGAAATTATGAGTAATTAGAAGATTTAGCAAATATTACTAGTTTCTTCCCAAAATAGCAAAGATTCTCGAGTACATGGATCAAAATTACTTGTTGAAAGCCAGGAAAAAAAAAACTTGTTGAAGGATAAGGTAGTTGTCAAGAAATAAGTGAAAAATGAACATAATATTTCTTAGGTCTCTAATGTTGTGTACTGGACCAGGGGCAGGTACTATGACTTTTTACTTTTCTTTGTCACCCTATGATCTTTATATTTTCCTTGCGAATTTATCCAGAAATACAGACTAAGATGAACAATTAACCAATGTTGATTTGTGGTGCCTCTTATTTCCAGGTAAAACAAATATCCAAAGTGTTTGTTAACTGGTATGTAGTAATAACAGAAGTGCAGCTGGTTTTAAGTGGGTTTTACCTTTTTTAACACCTGAATGTTTTAACTTCACTACAGTGATAGTTATAGTGTATAGAATAAAGATGGGTTCCTATTGTTGTTTTTCTTGTCTTCCAGCATTGCATGTTTACCATCATTAACAAACCTCTTTAATATTTAGGAGGCCATAAACTGTTGATCTGCGTGCTCACCAACAGGGATATAACCCTCTTTATATAGTATAGAGTATGTCTGCAGTTAAAACAAGCATTCTGATGTTCTGATGTGTTATTAAATATGAGTACAAGGGAACCCATCTTTAGAGAAGTTGGTTGTGGAGAGTGCATTTCTGTTCAGAATTTATCCAGTAAGGAATTTGTGATAGCACACATTTATTTTATTTCCATGTGTAATTTGGAAAATGAATTTCTTTCACTTTTATCCTAAATGGGGATGGGAGAGGGATGAAGTACAGATGAAGTACATATAATTTAAGGTTTGTCCTGATTTAACTAGAGCAAGACGTAAGAAAGGGAAGTAAGTATGTTATGTTTATAATTTTGAACCTCTGTATAGGATCTATAATAGCTATTTCCTTCCACATCTGACTTATTACTGATTTACATATACACCTGTTCAATAAGATATACATTACCATACCTCTGTCAATGTTTGGGGCTGTATATCTGGTTCTTGCTGCTACTTGCTTTGATTCATACTTAGTTTAGAACCATAAAAAGTTAACCACATTACCAAATGTATACGAAGAAACTGAACTCTGACCTTCTCAAATAATTCTTTACAGCCTGAACTGTACACTGATAATTCAAAATAGGGAAAATGGTTCCAGCAGCAGGAGAACGGACCTCTCCCTGATAAATAGGGAAAATAATTCCAGCAGCAGATATACTGACTTCTCTCTGATAAATAGGGAAAACAGTTCCAGAAGTGGAATAACTGACTTCTCTCTGATAAATAGGGAAAACAGTTCCAGAAGTGGAATAACTGACTTCTCCCTGATAAATAGGGAAAATGGTTCCAGCAGCAGGAGAACGGACCTCTCCCTGATAAATAGGGAGAATAATTCCAGCAGCAGATATACTGACTTTTCTCTGATAAATAGGGAAAACAGTTCCAGAAGTGGAATAACTGACTTCTCCCTGATAAATAGGGAAAACAGTTCCAGAAGTGGAATTACTGACTTCTCCCTGATAAATAGGGAAAATAGTTCTAGAAGTGGAATAACTGACTTCTCCCTGATAAATAGGGAAAATGGTTCCAGCAGCAGAAGAACGGACCTCTCCCTGATAAATAGGGAGAATAATTCCAGCAGCAGATATACTGATTTCTCTCTGATAAATAGGGAAAACAGTTCCAGAAGTGGAATAACTGACTTCTCCCTGATAAATAGGGAAAACAGTTCCAGAAGTGGAAAAACTGACTTCTCCCTGATAAATAGGGAAAACAGTTCCAGAAGTGGAATAACTGACTTCTTTCTGATAAATAGGGAAAATAGTTCTAGAAGTGGAATAACTGACTTCTCCCTGATAAATAGGGAAAATGGTTCCAGCAGCAGAAGAACGGACCTCTCCCTGATAAATAGGGAGAATAATTCCAGCAGCAGATATACTGACTTCTCTCTGGTAAATAGGGAAAACAGTTCCAGAAGTGGAATAACTGACTTCTCCCTGATAAGTAGGGAAAACAGTCCCAGAAGTGGAATAACTGACTTCTCCCTGATAAGTAGGGAAAACAGTTCCAGAAGTGGAATAACTGACTTCTCCCTGATAAATAGGGAAAACAGTTCCAGAAGTGGAATAACTGATTTCTCCCTGATAAATAGGGAAAACAGTTCTAGAAGTGGAATAACTGACTTCTCCCTGAAAAATAGGGAAAACAGTTCTAGAAGTGGAATAACTGACTTCTCCCTGATAAATAGGGAAAATAGTTCCAGCAGCAGAAGAACTGACTTCTACCTGATGGTGTTCCCATATTCTCAGCTGGAGCACATTAATTTGATTATTTATTATAACTGAAGATTATCTTATCGAAACTCAAATTTGTGTTGGAGAATTTAAAAACAGATGAATGTAAAATTACCAAACCTTATGTTTGATTTAATTTGCTTCCTTTTGATCACTCTAAACTATCCATGAAGTGAGGCTCAAAATGCCTGTGGCTGTTGACAGACAGTTAAACATCAATTAATAAAACTAGAAAATATTATATAAACTAGCAATTATTACATACAACTGGCAATTGTTATGTACAAATCAAAAGTGACTGATAGCACACAACTGGTAATTACAGCATACAACCAGTAGTCACACTGACATAGTATTATCAGCAGCTAAACAGGCTCTTATTTTCACCATTTGAATATGTCTAGACTTCATTCATGTCTTCAGTGTGTCTAAAGGAGCCAAGATAGCAAGCAAAGTCAGAACAATGGACTTTGCAAGCTGACATGAAATGTGCAGTTTGATAGTCTCTCATGAAGCTGATAAATTAGACCATCCTGTACTATTGTTGTGTCCTTCAGCAAAATACTTCACCTTTATTGCTTTGGGTAGTATGTGGGGGAACCTCTCGCATGTATCAGGCATCTATCAGAAACTACAAGTAGGCCCAACTTCAAAATAACCTTTGCCCATGATCCTTGTTTTTGTGTCCAGAACAGTTTTAATATGGTGGTGATGATGATGTTGTAGTGTAGCCATATGCAATGGTGGTGGTGTTTAGATTACACAATGGTGGCGGAGTGTCATTTCTTTACATTTGTATTTTGTTAATTTTTTTTATGGTACCCTTCTTTTCAGTTTGTTTCTTCTTTTTCACTTTTTTTGGTGATTTGGTTAAAGTTTATTAGCTCCCCTGACCCAAAGGGCCAAGTGAGCTTATGGCATACAGCAACATCCTTCGTCTCTGTCAACTTTTCCTCTAAATTGTTACCTGTCATAGACTACGTAGTAGATTTTTATCAACTCATAAGCATATTTTTGGGAAGGAGATGCAATTTTGTATAAATGGTGAGTTTGAACACACCAAAGTGGATATTGAACAAATTCAAATCCTTTAAAACCTTCTTCTGTAGGATAAATTGGATTTTGCCTGCATTTAGTCTGACATATTTTTGGGTGAAGGAGACTCAATTTTGTATAAACAATGGATGTTAGCCCCATTTGTCTAAATGGAAAATAGCACAAATTATCCTTCCTCTTTAGGAAAGTCAGGATTCTATCTCATCTTTTTCTGAAGTAACCTAATGTGAAGGGAAATCAGTTTTATATAAACAATGGGACCTCTGGTCCCAGAAGGGTGTGGCCAGTAGGGAAGACAGGAGCAAATACTTTAAACCCGGGTTTTTCTGTAGGAATGCCTTCATTCTGTCCCAATTTGGTCTGAAGCATCTTTGAATGAATGGGAATTTTGTGGAATGCATGCTTTAGTGAAGCAGATTTTTGTTTAAAAGATTTAGCTGGCCAGCTGAGAGGCAGGGCCCAACGGGGAAATAAACATTTAGAATTCCTTTTCCTTTAGTTTTGGAAAAGCAATATCAGATAAAAAGAGCCAGGTGAGAGATACAGGTCCAATGGGCCTCTTGTTAAAAACAAAGGAGAAATTTTTGAAGTATCATGATAAATTTACTGTGTATTTAATATGATGTCTCAAATAGGGAATACTGTTTTCTGTCTAGCTGCAACTCCATCAGTAGAGGGAAACCATAACATAATGGTGATACACATGATGAATATTAATTGCTTTCAAGCACAACTTTTGTTTCTTTATGATATATTCAGAATTACTAGCAGGGTTTTTTTGCCATATAACTGATTTTTATTATCTCACCTGGTCATTATGTGTAACAGATATAAGTGTAATGAAACATACATTAATGTCAGTTACAAGAGTGGTAAAACCAATATGTATGGCAGTTATGGGAGTGATTAAACCTATATGTATGGCAGTTATGGGAGTGATTAAACCTATATGTATGTCAGTTTCGAAGTGATTAAAACAACATGTATGGCATTTATGGGAGTGATTGGACCTATATGTATGGCAGTTATGGGAGTGATTAGAACTAGATGTATGGCAGTTATGGAAGTGATTAGACCTAGATGTATGGCAGTTATGGGAGTGATTAAACCTATATGTATGTCAGTTTCGAAGTGATTAAAACAACATGTATGGCATTTATGGGAGTGATTGGACCTATATGTATGGCAGTTATGGGAGTGATTAGAACTAGATGTATGGCAGTTATGGGAGTGATTAGACCTATATGTATGGCAGTTATGGGAGTGATTAGACCTAGATGTATGGCAGTTATGGGAGTGATTAAACCTATATGTATGTCAGTTATGGGAGTGATTAGACCTATATGTATGGCAGTTATGGGAGTAATTAAACCTATATGTATGTCAGTTTCGAAGTGATTAAACCTATATGTATGTCAGTTTCGAAGTGATTAAACTTATATGTATGTCAGTTTCGAAGTGATTAAACCTATATGTATGGCAGTTATGGGAGTGATTGGACCTATATGTATGGCAGTTATGGGAGTGATTAAACCTATATGTATGGCAGTTATGGGAGTGATTAGACCTATATGTATGGCAGTTATGGGAGTGATTAGACCTATATGTATGGCAGTTATGGGAGTGATTAGACCTATATGTATGGCAGTTATGGGAGTGATTAGACCTATATGTATGGCAGTTATGGGAATGATTAAACCTATATGTATGTCAGTTTCAAAGTGATTAAAACAACATGTATGGCAGTTATGGGAGTAATTGGACCTATATGTATGGCAGTTGTGGGAGTGATTAGACCTATATGTATGGCAGTTATGGGAGTGATTAGACCTATATGTATGGCAGTTATGGGAGTGATTAGACCTATATGTATGTCAGTTATGGGAGTGATTAGACCTATATGTATGGCAGTTATGGGAGTGATTAAACCTATATGTATGGCAGTTATGGGAATGATTAAACCTATATGTATGGCAGTTATGGGAGTGATTAAACCTATATGTATGGCAGTTATGGGAGTGATTAAACCTATATGTATGGCAGTCACATGAGTGATGAATTTTTCATGTATAGCATTTTTGGAGTGATTCAGTCTGTATGTATGGTAGTATTTGGAGTGATGAGTCCTACAGGCATAACAGTTATGGGAGTGATGAAACCAACATGTATAGCAGTTATGGCGGTGACAATACCTTTATCTATAGCAATGCGGAGAAGATTATACTTATCTCTTAAGTTTCATGTGTTAAGATTTCCTCATCAGTTAATTATCATATGTCATCAAGTAGGATCAGAGCGGGCTAATGATAGGTAAATATCATTAGTAGTGACAATTAATTATCCTGTAGTCCTGATTGTACTTGGAGTTGATTAACATGAAGTGTTTACAAACTAAATTTAAGAATTAAAATCATAGTTCTCTTTATTGTAATACCATGTGTCTGTTCATCTGCTTCAGTTTGTATTGGGACTATGCACTGACTGTTTACCTAGATGAGATTGTCTACATCCATTGTCACCAACAGCGTAAGTACTCTTTTACAGATCCCTAGTGCTACACTTTTAATTCATATATTTGTTATATATTGCTTTTAGCTAATCTGGGGCCAAGAGAGCTTATTGCTTCTGGTAGTGTTCGTCTTCTGCCATGAGTTTCTACAAATCACTACCAGCCATGAACAGATAAGCAGATTTTGACCAAATTTGATACAGAAGCATCCTTGAATGCATGGGTCATGTCCCTGAAGCATCCTTGGGTGAAGTTAACTCAATTTGTAAAAAGCAGTATGTCAGATCCTCTTTGGGCAAAGAGGGGCATTATAGCAAAAATAGATACAAATCTTAAAAAAAAGCTTTTGTTTTAGTTAAGATGAAGCAATTTCAGTGAACTAAACCAGGCCTATCCAGCCTCTTGTCTCCACTTGTCTGACTTTGGTTAGATGTTTAGGTACATTACTATAGAAGTGTGGATTATTACAATGATATGAATTTGTGGTTTCCTTAAAATCATTTTGATTAATGTTTTTAGCTCACCTGGTACGATATTTTATCAAGAGGGACATCTGTGATCTATTAACCCCGTCTTTTATACTTGGTCATTGGAGATAACCCTCATCAATGTTATATTTCTCTCTGTTTCCAGCTGACTGTGGTGGTACAATAGTACTGGTGGGACAGGATGGAGTACAGCGTCCACCTATCCACTTCCCCAAGGGAGGTCACTTACTTGCATTCCTGTCATGCCTGGAAAATGGCCTGCTCCCACATGGCCAACTGGACCCACCTCTCTGGTCACAACGCGGTAAAGGTAGACCTTTAACCCTTTCACCTGTCTAGCCACACCCACCTTTATGCAAATGAGCACACTGTTAAGGGGCAGACATAGGGTGGAAGGGTTGTCGGGGTGGAAGGGTTAATGTCACTATATGTCTCTTTTGTACTCATCAATTAAGTGTAAACCTCTTCATTCTTGCTCTCACATTTGACAGTATTTTATAACCTGGGGTAAAAAGTGTAGCAATGAATTGGTTTACAGGTGTGTATCATGACTTTTAACCCTCGTCCCTGTGTGACCTTCACCCTGTCATACTCTCCTATCCCAAACTTTGGGGAGAAACTATTTCATTCTGTATTGTATTTGAAGATTATTATAAACAAAAAATAAGCAGCCTTGACCTGCGCTGTTATCAGTATGTTTCTGCCACAAACGGTTAACCGCAAGCCTGTCCTTTGATTTGAGGACTTTATGAGGAGTGTGAATAACAATGCAGGTGGACAGGCTTCACAGGTGAAATGGTTTCTGGGCAAATTTTCTGCATCATGGAAGTTATTCTGTTGTCAGCTTTTTCTCCAACTTTCCTTAAGTTTATTTAAACCTTCAACTAAACCATACTTACCTAAACAAGTCTTTGTAATGGTGTATCTAAGCTTTCTACTGTTGTTTTCGTTGATTCATATGTATTGCTTTAAGTTGAATCTAAGTATTCTTATCTAAAGTATTTGGTGACACACCATGTTTATATGTTTTTGAATCATGGATGTGTATACTTCACCCTAAAGATATTTTCAAACTTCAGTATATTTAATCTGAGGTCATAAGATGAAAGTAGATAAATCTTTAAAGGGAGGTAAATCAAAAATCAAAGAATGCAAATCAATTAATAATTAGTAAATAATATCACACTATGAAACAAAGAGGTCTGTTTTAAATTTTGCTTGTGTATCATTTGAAACATCAACATTCAATACACTGTTTAATGCTGAATGCTGAACTCCATATTCTTTCAATGAAGACCTGAGAAGCCCCTGTTGGTTCTACTGATATATGGATGGTTTACACAGTTGACCAGAAAAACAATAAAACACTTTTTAATATGCAAGTAATAAATTTCATTATAGAATCAAATACACTTTATCATGGAAAAAAACAGTGTCAGTTTCTTCCATTTAAATAAAATGGCTTTGTCTCCATGCTAATAAAATAAGGATTTGACTTTTCATTTTTGAATGGTAAGTTGACATATAGACAATATAGACAGTAATATTCTTTGATTAAAAATTATGATTTAAAGATTTAGCAGAACTATTTTGTTTATTTTGTTGAGGAAGTGAAAGAAACTGAGAGGCTACATTTAAATACTACAAACTACTCTTCGTTCAAATACTTTGAAATATACAATACTATTAAAACTTTGAAATATACAATACTATTAAAACTTTGAAATATACAATACTATTAAAACTTTGAAATATACAATACTATTAAAACTTTGAAATATACAATACTATTAAAACTTTGAAATATACAATACTATTAAAACTTTGAAATATACAATACTATTAAAACTTTGAAATATACAATACTATTAAAACTTTGAAATATACAATACTATTAAAACTTTGAAATATACAATACTATTAAAACTTTGAAATATACAATACTATTAAAACTTTGAAATATACAATACTATTAAAACTTTGAAATATACAATACTATTAAAACTTTGAAATATACAATACTATTAAAACTTTGAAATATACAATACTATTAAAACTTTGAAATATACAATACTATTAATACTTTGAAATATACAATACTATTAAAACTGTGAAATATACAATACTATTAAAACTTTGAAATATACAATACTATTAATACTTTGAAATATACAATACTATTAAAACTGTGAAATATACAATACTATTAAAACTTTGAAATATACAATACTATTAATACTTTGAAATATACAATACTATTAATACTTTGAAATATACAATACTATTAAAACTGTGAAATATACAATACTATTAAAACTTTGAAATATACAATACTATTAATACTTTGAAATATACAATACTATTAAAACTTTGAAATATACAATACTATTAAAACTTTGAAATATACAATACTATTAAAACTTTGAAATATACAATACTATTAAAACTTTGAAATATACAATACTATTAAAACTTTGAAATATACAATACTATTAAAACTTTGAAATATACAATACTATTAATACTTTGAAATATACAATACTATTAAAACTGTGAAATATACAATACTATTAAAACTTTGAAATATACAATACTATTAATACTTTGAAATATACAATACTATTAAAACTTTGAAATATACAATACTATTAAAACTGTGAAATATACAATACTATTAAAACTTTGAAATATACAATACTATTAAAACTTTGAAATATACAATACTATTAAAACTTTGAAATATACAATACTATTAAAACTTTGAAATATACAATACTATTAAAACTTTGAAATATACAATACTATTAAAACTTTGAAATATACAATACTATTAAAACTTTGAAATATACAATACTATTAAAACTGTGAAATATACAATACTATTAAAACTTTGAAATATACAATACTATTAAAACTTTGAAATATACAATACTATTAAAACTGTGAAATATACAATACTATTAAAACTTTGAAATATACAATACTATTAAAACTGTGAAATATACAATACTATTAAAACTGTGAAATATACAATACTATTAAAACTGTGAAATATACAATACTATTAAAACTGTGAAATATACAATACTATTAAAACTGTGAAATATACAATACTATTAAAACTGTGAAATATACAATACTATTAAAACTTTGAAATATACAATACTATTAAAACTTTGAAATATACAATACTATTAAAACTTTGAAATATACAATACTATTAAAACTTTGAAATATACAATACTATTAAAACTTTGAAATATACAATACTATTAAAACTTTGAAATATACAATACTATTAAAACTTTGAAATATACAATACTATTAAAACTTTGAAATATACAATACTATTAAAACTTTGAAATATACAATACTATTAAAACTTTGAAATACTGCAAACTACAAAATTTTCAAATCTATAAATGGCAAAAGTTACTAAAAGGCTAAGAAAAATTCTAGCTGCGTAACATTGATATATATATATAAAATGAAATTTCCATTATGATATTAAAATATTACCTCGAGACACAACTGATTTCCAGAGTACCTTCCTGAAGTTATTATATTTAAGTCCAGTAAGTTAGATGTTTGTCCCAAATACTTTTTGATTAAGGTTTTCATTCCAGGAAGAATTCTGATTTTATTTTGATATTACTCTGTTATGGTACATGTGAGGTGTATGTTGTACTGAGTGTGTGTTCCTTTGACACAGGTGTACACTATAGACAGGCCAGTATGAACCAAACCTACGCTATTGTCATCGCGCATAACAGTTGAGTGTTTGTAGCATGCTGCCCCATCCCTCACTTCCTGTACACTGCTGTGCAGTCTGCTTACTGCTCTTTCAGATCACAAGCATATAGTGCTTTTATTGGTATTGACCATACAAATAACATTACCTGGGTTACAAAGCTAGTTTAAACTTGGTACAGATGATGTTTGTTGGGTAACAATGCTATTTTGGATAAATTCCTGATATATCAAGTTTTTTTTCATATCTTCAGTTACCGTACTATTTTAATTTAACAAAATTTTGTGAAAAGTGAAGTACCTGTCATACCATTGACCTATTTAAGTAATGTGTGATGCTTTGTAAATGTAGGATTGCTGCGCTGTGTAGATGATACATTAACGTATGAAGCTTCCTGCTTAGCTAGGTTAATCCACCCTGTGTCTGCTAGAATTCCCAACACAAAGTCATTTGTTCATGCTAACAACAATAATGATATTCCTGTAACAAAAGCTAGAATATCTATAGCATTGATGTATTAGCTAGTGACATCAAATCCTTGGACAATGTTATTTATTATGTCAATTAGATCCTAATTGACAATGTCTGCACATTAAGGCAAAGAATCCCTGACAAGTCTACAAGGACACACCAACATCAGCCAGGAAGAAATTTTTTAACTTCAATCGGAGTATGAAACAGGAGACAAAATGTGGTTTCCGTTTTAGTGGTTTTGTGTGTCTGTTTTTGGCTGTAACATTGGTTGGGTGATAGTCTCTGCAAAGTGGTTTTGTGTGTATTTGATTTCAGCTGTAACATTAAATGGTTGGATGCTAGTTTCTGCACAGTGGTTTTATGTGTGGTACACTTCACTGGTACAGATACTCCAACCAACTGAGGTAACTGGCCACTGGTGCTTCCTTAGACAAATACTCAAACCAACTGAGCTAACTGGCCACTGTAGCTTCCTTAGACAGATACTGTAACCAACTGAGCTAACTGGCCACTGGTGCTTCCTTAGACAAATACTGTAACCAACTGAGCTAACTGGCCACTCAAACCAACTGAGCTAACTGGCCATACTGTCAAACCAACTGAGCTAACTGGCCACTGTAGCTTCCTTAGACAGATACTGTAACCAACTGAGCTAACTGGCCACTGGTGCTTCCTAGACAAATACTGTAACCAACTGAGCTAACTACTGTAACCAACTGAGCTAACTGGCCACTGTAGCTTCCTTAGACAGATACTGTAACCAACTGAGCTAACTGGCCACTGGTACTTCCTTAGACAGATACTGTAACCAACTGAGCTAACTGGCCACTGTAGCTTCCTTAGACAGATACTGTAACCAACTGAGCTAACTGGCCACTGTAGCTTCCTTAGACAAATACTCAAACCAACTGAGCTAACTGGCCACTGTAGCTTCCTTAGACAGATACTGTAACCAACTGAGCTAACTGGCCACTGTAGCTTCCTTAGACAGATACTGTAACCAACTGAGCTAACTGGCCACTGTAGCTTCCTTAGACAGATACTGTAACCAACTGAGCTAACTGGCCACTGGTGCTTCCTTAGACAAATACTCAAACCAACTGAGCTAACTGGCCACTAGTGCTTCCTTAGACAGATACTGTAACCAACTGAGCTAACTGGCCACTGTAGCTTCCTTAGACAGATACTGTAACCAACTGAGCTAACTGGCCATTGGTACTTCCTTAGACAGATACTCAAACCAACTGAGCTAACTGGCCACTGGTGCTTCCTTAGACAGATACTGTAACCAACTGAGCTAACTGGCCACTGGTACTTCTGTAGACAGATTCTGTATCCAACTGAGCTAACTGACCACTAGTGCTTCCTTAGACAGAATCTCCAACCAACTGAGCTAACTGGCCACTGGTGCTTCCTTAGACAGATACTGTAACCAACTGAGCTAACTGGCCACTGGTGCTTCCTTAGACAGATACTGTAACCAACTGAGCTAACTGGCCACTGTAGCTTCCTTAGACAGATACTGTAACCAACTGAGCTAACTGGCCACTGATGTAATACAGAAATCAATCACATCACCTATAAATTACAAATATAAGTTTATATATATACTCATTGTGACCTCATAGAGAAACCTATCACCATCACCAGTTAATTGCATAATTATGTAAGTAATATATACATATATTCCCATTATGATCGCACAACTTATAACACAGAAACCTTTCACCATTGCCCTTAAATGACTTCTGTAAGTATATATATGAAATGTACATATGACCTGACTACAAAGAAACTTATTACCATCACCCTTATGTTACATTTGTCTGTTTAGAGTTTTCAAGGAAAAAGTTATTTTTAGATTTGATATAAATTATAGTGTAATGGAGTTATTTTAGATTTGTTAGAAATATTTTAGTTATTACCTTCACAGTTAAAACATTTATGTAGTTATATCTAAGACTGTTTAATTCTGTTTAGTAGAATTTGTCCGATACCTGCTAATTATCTTTAAAGGTAGAATTCAATTTGTATAACATTTATTTGGAGTGATAAAAAAAATATATAAAAAGTAAGAGTTCACAATTCAATGCAGTATCAAACACAATATCAAGGAAATGTTTCTTAAACACATGTTCATCAAAGTTAGTGAGGACCCTTCTGTTACATGTCACACTTAGGATAGAGAAAAATAACTGAATAATATCCTTAATCGCTGTTAATAATAATGTATCATTTGATCCATATCGTACAAATTTTTGCCATCAATAATTGTTCGTTAAGTTATAATCAACAGCATTCAACTAACAGAGAAAATTGGGGATTGCACAAAGAAGACTAGATTTTAATTTTGATACTTGGTTCTGCTATGCTGTGTAAATGTTTTGTAAGACACTGTTGTTGACTTTTAAAGTCATGTTGATAAGTGTATACTCTGTTAATCCTTATTTGTCAGTGTGACACAATGATTTATCAAGTCTGTAACTATGTCCTTTATTTCTTTCAGGGAAAGTTTTTCCCAAACTAAAACGGAAAGGCAGTCGTCTCTCTAACATTTCACAAGAGGGCAGCACTAGTAGCTCCAGCACAGAAGAAGATGAAGCCACTGACTATGTCTTTCGTATCATCACTACATTTAGACCTTCCAGCATTCGTAAGTCATCATCACATTTAGACCTTCCAGCATTCATAAGTCATCACTACATTTATACCTTCCAGTATTGATAAGTCATCACTACATCAAGACCTTCCAGCATTCATAAGTCATCATCACATTTAGACCTTCCAGTATTCATAAGTCATCATTTCATTTAGACCTTCCAGCATTCATAAGTCATCACTACATTTAGACCTTCCAGCATTCATAAGTCATCATTTCATTTAGACCTTCCAGCATTCATAAGTCATCACTACATTTAGACCTTCCAGCATTCATAAGTCATCACTACATCAAGACCTTCCAGCATTCGTAAGTCATCACCACATTTAGACCTTCCTGTATTCATAAGTCATCATTTCATTTAGACCCAGTATTCGAAGTCATCACTACATTTAGACTTTTCAGTATTCATAAGTCATCACTACATTTAGACCTTCCTGTATTCATAAGTCATCACCACATTTAGACCAAGTATTCATAAGTCATCACTACATTTAGACCCAGTATTCGTAAGTCATCACTACATTCAGATCAAGTCATGACGACATACTTCTGTTTCTATGGTGACTATAGGTAATTCTGTTTCTATGATAACTATAGGTAATTCTGTTTCTATGATAACTATAGGTAATTCTGTTTCTATGGTGACTAGGTTTTGTTTCTTTAGAATGATTGTTGTCTTTACCTGACAGAAAACACTTTAACTCTTGTAGCTCCTGAGATGATGGATCCAAAAGCTAAGATAAAGGGAGAAAACTTTTCCTGGGCTAATCGAATCCCACGCCTGCCAAGCCCATTGGCCCAGTCATCAGTACAGGACTATGCCAAAGCTCAAGAAGAACAGAACAACTCCTGTCTTTCCAAACAGGGTTCCAACCACAGGTCTGGGTAAAACATGCCTTTATCTTTCCAAACAGGGTTCCAACCACAGGTCTGGGTAAAACATGCCTTTATCTTTCCAAACAGAGTTCCAACCACAGGTCTGGGTAAAACATGCCTTTATCTTCCCAAACAGAGTTCCAACCACAGGTCTGGGTAAAACATGCCTTTATCTTTCCAAACAGAGTTCCAACCACAGGTCTGGGTAAAACATGCCTTTATCTTTCCAAACAGAGTTCCAACCACAGGTCTGGGTAAAACATGCCTTTATCTTTCCAAACAGGGTTCCAACCACAGGTCTGGGTAAAACATGCCTTTATCTCTCCAAACAGGGTTCCAACCACAGGTCTGGGTAAAACATGCCTTTATCTCTCCAAACAGGGTTCCAACCACAGGTCTGGGTAAAACATGCCTTTATCTCTCCAAACAGGGTTCCAACCACAGGTCTGGGTAAAACATGCCTTTATCTTTCCAAACAGGGTTCCAACCACAGGTCTGGGTAAAACATGCCTTTATCTTTCCAAACAGGGTTCCAACCACAGGTCTGGGTAAAACATGCCTTTATCTCTCCAAACAGAGTTCCATCCACAGGTCTGGGTAAAACATGCCTTTATCTCTCCAAACAGAGTTCCAACCACAGGTCTGGGTAAAACATGCCTTTATCTCTCCAAACAGAGTTCCAACCACAGGTCTGGGTAAAACATGCCTTTATCTTTCCAAACAGGGTTCCAACCACAGGTCTGGGTAAAACATGCCTTTATCTCTCCAAACAGGGTTCCAACCACAGGTCTGGGTAAAACATGCCTTTATCTCTCCAAACAGGGTTCCAACCACAGGTCTGGGTAAACCATGCCTTATCTTTCAAACAGGGTTCCAACCACAGGTCTGGGTAAAACATGCCTTTATTTCTCCAAACACGGTTCCAACTACAGGTCTGGGTAAAACATGCCTTTATCTCTCCAAACAGGGTTCCAATCATAGGTCTGCATAAAACATGCCTCTCTCTCCGAACAGGGTTGTAACTGCAAACCTGGGTAAAAACATGGCTTATCTCTCCTATCACAGTTCGAACCAATGGTCTTGGGAAAACATATATCTCTCCAAAAACAGGGTTTCAACTGCAGCTCTGGGTAAAACATGCCTTATCTCTCCAAACAGGGTTTCAGCTGCAGGTCTGGGTAAAACATGCCTTATCTCTCCAAACAGGGTTTTGGCTGCAGGTCTTGGTAAAACATACCTTATCTCTCTAAACATGGATCCAATTGTACGTCTTTAAAATCAAGGTATTGCTTATAACAAACCTGCTGTAAAAGGCAAATAAAGTGTTATCAAATACAGCTGATATAGAGACATTTTTCAGTTGAGAACTGCATTTTGTAATGAAGAAAATTAATATGCAAGTTCATATTATTTTATATTTCAGAACCACATTAAAACAACTTTGTGACACTATGAAGAAACAAATTATCTCAAGAGCTTTCTATGGGTGTAAGTATTTCTGTGTGTATATCTCTGTCTGTGTGAGAATTTCTCTGTGTCTGTATTTCTTTGTGTATTTCTCTATCTGTGTAAGTATTTCTCTTTGTCTGTATTTCTGTGTACATATTTTTAGCTGGCTATGTCTTACTCTCTACCGCTTTGTTTCTTACATATCTGTATCTGTTTATGATCAAAAACCAGATACTTTACATATTATCAGGGCTAGCCCATTGTCGCCACCTGAAGACAGTGAGAACACACTTGTCTGGCCTAGTTCTTGGTTCATTAACTGGCACAGATTCCGATTACGACCTATCAGCAGGACTGACAGAGGACCAGTGGAAGTTTCTCAACAAGGACAATATGGTGAGTAGAAAAGGGCAGAGGGTACATTGACAAATAAAAGGCATGGTGCAAGTGAGGAACTTATTTGTAGGGAGATGTAGAAGACATATCTTAGAATACTAGTGAATAGTATTTAAGCATTAAAGTGCTTTGAGTGGCAGTCATTGGCTTATGAATACCAACTGGACAAAGGCAAATTGAAGTAGGTGTATCAATGCTTCATGGCCTTTGCCAGTTGGCATTCATGGCCCATGTACCCATCCTTTACTACTGGAGTCCATTTCCTCTATATATAACAAATCATATGTACCCATCCTTTACTATTGAAGTCCAAGTCCTCTATATATAACAAATCATAAGTACCCATCCTTTACTATTGAAGTCCATTTCCTCTATATATAACAGATTTTATGTACCCATCCTTTACTATTGAAGTCCATTTCCTCTATATATAACAGATCTTATGTACCCATCCTTTACTATTGGAGTCCATTTCCTCTATATATAACAAATCATATGTACCCATCCTTTACTATTGAAGTCCATTTCCTCTATATATAACAAATCATATGTACCCATCCTTTACTATTGAAGTCCATTTCCTCTATATATAACAGATTTTATGTACCCATCCTTTACTATTGAAGTCCATTTCCTCTATATATAACAGATTTTATGTACCCATCCTTTACTATTGAAGTCCAAGTCCTCTATATATAACAAATCATAAGTACACATCCTTTACTATTGAAGTCCATTTCCTCTATATATAACAAATCATATGTACCCATCCTTTACTACTGGAGTCCATTTCCTCTATATATAACAGATCTTATGTACCCATCCTTTACTATTGAAGTCCATTTCCTCTATATATAACAAATCATATGTACCCATCCTTTACTATTGAAGTCCATTTCCTCTATATATAACAAATCATATGTACCCATCCTTTACTATTGGAGTCCATTTCCTCTATATATAACAAATCTTATGTACCCATCCTTTACTATTGAAGTCCATTTCCTCTATATATAACAGATTTTATGTACCCATCCTTTACTATTGAAGTCCATTTCCTCTATATATAACAGATCTTATGTACCCATCCTTTACTATTGAAGTCCATTTCCTCTATATATAACAAATCATATGTACCCATCCTTTACTACTGGAGTCCATTTCCTCTATATATAACAGATCTTATGTACCCATCCTTTACTATTGAAGTCCAAGTCCTCTATATATAACAATCATGAAGTTGTACCCATCCTTTACTATTGAAGTCCATTTCCTCTATATATAACAGATCATATGTACCCATCCTTGAAATCAGGAAAGAAGTAAGTACCTATTGAAGTACAAACACATGAAATCTTCATGTCTGTATATATAACAAATCATATGTACCCATCCTTTACTACTGGAGTCCATTTCCTCTATATATAACAGATCTTATGTACATCCATTGTTATAGGAATGGAACATGAAAGTTCACCATTTTATAGAGATGCTGTAAAAACTTCCTTCATGTCTGTTTTTTACATAAATTTGTCTGGGTTTGCATTCGATTGAAGAAAATAAACTTCATCTTATTTTGAGTGTTCATACGGTATTTATGGATTATTGAATCATGCACTATTGTAAGGAAAAATAAAGTTCTAATGAAGCTGAAGTTGATAACCTCATTCCTTCTTACTTCTGTAGGTGTCAGATCCTCAAGAGGTTTATCATCAACTGGTGTACAACCTTCCAGGTGTTGCATCATGAAATCAGGAAATAAACCTTCCATGTAACTGTGTTATCTTAGGTTAATACAAACACTGTGAAATCTTCCATGTAACTGTGTTATCTTTCCCAGATCATCAACTCTGAAACCTTCCATGTACTGAGTTATCTTTCCCTGATCATCAACTCTGAAACCTTCCATGTAACTGTGTTATCTTTCCCTGATCATCAACTCATAAACCTTCCATGTACTGAGTTATCTTTCCCTGATCATCAACTCTGAAACCTTCCATGTACTGAGTTATCTTTCCCTGATCATCAACTCATAAACCTTCCATGTAACTGTGTTATCTTTCCCTGATCATCAACTCATAAACCTTCCATGTACTGGGTTATCTTTCCCTGATCATCAACTCTGAAACCTTCCATATACTGAGTTATCTTTCCCTGATCATCAACTCTGAAACCTTCCATGTAACTGTGTTATCTTTCCCTGATCATCAACTCTGAAACCTTCCATGTAAACCTTCCATGTACTGAGTTATCTTTCCCTGATCATCAACTCTGAAACCTTCCATGTAACTGTGTTATCTTTCCCTGATCATCAACTCTGAAACCTTCCATGTACTGAGTTATCTTTCCCTGATCATCAACTCTGAAACCTTCCATGTACTGAGTTATCTTTCCCTGATCATCAACTCATAAACCTTCCATGTAACTGAGTTTATCTTTCCCTGATCATCAAATTCTTTTCAAAAGAAATTGCTGAGGTGAACATTTCTGCAGATTTGTACTGAAAATTTTCCACTATTTATAGGATACCTTAGTGTTCCTCTTGACAACGTCACTGAATATTGGTTTTGCTCAGAGTTTCCAGTCTGATTTGTTAAGTTACCAAGCATGTATACTGTTTATCATATCAGATATGATGAGTTACAGTTGAGGTGTGATGTGTCAACAAAAGAGTTTGACATATCACCATTCAAATTTGATTTCTCATTATTCAGGTATGACATGTTTAATCAGATATACCATGTCACTTTTCAGAAATGACGCATGACATAATGAGGTATGACATGTGTGATTAATCATGCATGACATGTCACCAATCAGGTATGACACATGACAAATCAGGTATAGCATGTGACCATTTAGGCATGACATGTGACTAGTCAGGTATGATATGTAATTAATCAGGTATGATGTGTAACTAGTCAGGTATGACGTGTGACTAGTCAGGTATGACATGTAACCACTGTCATGTTTATTTACAGGTGTGGCCTTACCTGCTGGGACATTACTCCTTCAGCAGCACACCAGAGGAGAGAGAAAAGGTTGACGAGGTCATGCGTACAATGTATGAACGGACAATGTCTGAATGGTTAGCAATAGAGGCCATTGTTAAACAACGTGATAAGGAAATCATGGCAGCTAATCTGGCCAAATTATCCTCTCACAGCTCGGATGGACCAATACCGCTAGTACGTAAAGACTCTAGTCTTAGCAATGATGTGTTCGAATCTCAACAAAGTTTTGATGAATGGGATGACTTCTCACATCCAGAGACAGTACCAGAGGAGAGTTCCGCCACAGGTACAACATGTACGCCAACCCCAGACAGGAAACAGAGTATGGAACTCCATCTACAACAGGCAGAGGTCATCGAAAAGATGACACAAACAGAAATATTACTAGAGAAAAGAGACTATGTGTGTACATCATTTTCTGACAGTCCAGATGATGGGCTTGGTGACTCTATAGCTCGGCAGAGTTCACAAGAAAGGTCAAAATTAGATTCAGCAGGTGATTCGGAAGGCACAGATATCTCCCGTGCTGACCGTGAGGGCAGTATGGAGCGCCACATCATTGTAACAAAGATGTCTTGCTCCATGGACAGTACTGAAGCTGATGAGGAGGATGGTGGGGCAGAGTCAGATGATGAAGAAGAGGATGATGATGACAACGATGATGATGATGACGATGATGACAGAGATGGTCTTTCTAGTCAAAGACATTCCTTAACAGTCGAAAACACAGGAAAGTCATTTGATGCTGAAAATATAGGTAAGATTTTATAAATAGTGTCCAATATTGCTTAAAACAAATGAATGAAGTAAGATATTGAATTTGTATATTATATAGTATCATTTGTACTGGTATGTTATTTCTGTATTACAGATAATTCTACACATCATGGTGACTACATATACCAGGATGGTTGGCTTAAAATAGATTAATATTTATTGATATGTGAACAGAATGAGATCACAAAACATCAAATTAAGACTGTAACTAGTAATTTCATTTGTTAATATATTAAATTTATAGTAAAACCAAAGTCATTGTATTTGTTCATTGCAGTTATTTTTACAATATCTTTGTCTAAATATTGATTTTCCAGATAACTTGAAACGTCTTTCTACATCTCACGAAAGCTTGATATCACCAGCTTCTCCTGCCTCTAATGGTGGAATATATTCAGTAAGTCTTCATATACACAACACAATGGAAAATATCTTGTATTGATCATTTTCTAGCTTCAGCATATCAACCATACATCCAACTCATTAAATGACAGTTAAATTCTTTGAAAGTTTCCCTGTTTCTATGGTAATTTGAAGGAACTGACGCATGAATATGAACTTTTTTTAGGCTGAGTTGTTGGACAATGTAGCACTAAATCTGCACAGAATAGACAAAGATGTACAGAGGTGTGACCGAAACTACTGGTACTTCACTCCCGCTAACCTGGAAAAACTCAGGAATGTCATGTGCACGTACGTATTGGTCACCTGATGTGTAGGATTTAAATAAACTCCTGTTATTTGTCATCAAGATTTGGTTGTTAAAGGAGATAGGCCTTTGCGGTTCTGAAAAGTCATACATAAAAATCTGGAATATTAGGTGTACATTGGTGAGATAGGCCTTTCTACATAAAAATCTGGAATATTAGGTGTACATTGGTGAGATAGGCCTTTCTACATAAAAATCTGGAATATTAGGTGTACATAGGTATTTACACATTTTCAGAAGTAATGAATAAAAACACTTAACATGAAAGTCAATGCAGTAATGATAAAATTTTTTATTAACATGATGATAAGTGTGATTTAATATGCTTTATGTATTTGTACTTAACTAACATTACACATCTTCTTGTGTAGGCTTGAGTGGGAACATATAGTCCCATACTTAACATTAATTGTATATAGGTCTGTGTAGGAACACCTGGGTATATACTTAACTTTACTTATCTATATGTCTGTGTAGGAACAACTAGGCATATACTTAACATTACTTATATATAGCTTTCTGTGGGAACACTTGGTCATATACTTAACTTTACTTATCTATAGGTCTGTGAAGGAACACCTGGGTATATACTTAACTTTACTTATCTATAGCATTCTATAGGAACGCTTGGTCATATACTTAATATTACTTATATATAAGTCTGTGAAGGAACACCTGGGTATATACTTAACTTTACTTATCTATAGCATTCTGTGGGAACACTTGGTCATATACGTAACATTGCTTGTCTATAGATTTGTGTGGGAACACCTGGATGTAGGATATGTACAGGGGATGTGTGACCTGGTGGCGCCCCTCCTTGTGGTCTTTGATGATGGTAAGTGTTAATAGATAATGAAGACAAAGTGAGTTTAATATTGTTTACCTTAATCTCTAGAGTTGACAAGTTTACTTGTAGTTCTGTTGACCTATAGTGATGAGTATCCTGTAATTACCTGTTTACCTGTATTGTGCAGTCTGTAATACCTGATTACCTGTAGGGGTCAGTTTACCTGTTATTACCTGTTTACCTGAATTGATAACCTTACGTGTATTGGCCAGTTTGCCTCTATTAGCCTGTATTGGCCAGTTTACCTGTTATAACCTGGCTTAACTGTTGACAGAGGCAATGACATACAGCTGTTTCTGTGAACTGATGAAGAGGATGTCCTCTAACTTCCCCCATGGAGGGGCCATGGACACTCACTTTGCTAATATGCGCTCCCTCATACAGGTTGGTATGATCAACATTACCTATCTTCTCTTTTGAAATGTTGACAATATGTTCAGCTCTTCATTAATATAATGATTGCAATGTTACATCAGATCTGTTCCATTTCCTATGCAAAATTCAGTAGAAAGAGCACAGAAAATGGAAATAAATTGTTAACTATAGTAAAAAGTAATCTGAAGTATCTATTATATCCAGATTAGTTATAACTGATAACCAGGAAGCTCGGATTTGTTTGAGTTTGTGTGTTTACAGTGTCAATTACATGTACATATTTTGGACATATATTGTCCAATTATCATTTAATGTGATATTATATTTGCCTCAAAATATGTTAAAATTTTCAGATTCTTGACTCGGAGTTATTTGAACACATGCATCACCATGGTGACTACACACACTTCTACTTCTGTTATCGATGGTTTTTACTGGATTTCAAAAGGGGTAAGATTACTGCATACATGGACATTTGTTACCAGAGACTTCCTCTTGGTTTTAGACTATTACTGTCTCTCAATTTTCCTGTTGAACTCTGTTTTTAAATAATGCAAATCAGTACAAGTTGCAAGTCCATACTGAGACTATACATCACTGTAAAAGTTGAACATTTTGAGAAAGTTGATATAAGGTTTATATTGTCTATGTTTTGATTTGTTACAGAGCTACTGTATGATGATGTGTTTGCTGTGTGGGAGACCATCTGGGTTGCTAAATATATCAGCTCCCCTCACTTCGTGTTGTTCATAGCTCTGGCCCTGGTTGAGTTCTACCGAGATATCATACTGGATAATAACATGGACTTCACCGACATAATTAAGTTCTTTAATGGTAAAGAATTAATACACAGAAAGATAAAGCCAATCTATTATATTCCTGAATTCTGTGTGACAACAATACCATATAGCCCGTTACTTTCATGGGGATAATATTTCCGCTGTTTCATAGTATATTAACGTGATCACAAAAATACATTCCGTGAAATAATAAGATATGTGTGTATAGATGCCCTTTTACATCAAGATTGCAAAATTTTTGTTAGTTAAAATACTATTTGATTGTATGTAAAGAAAATCACAAAAGTTTTGACCCAGTTTTGATAAATACTAGCTGTACAATATATTGTTTTCGCTAGTAACGTTGACATTCACTTTCACCTTTCTTTATTGTGTCAGTATAACAGAACTAGAAAGCATCAGAAGTAGTGTTTCAGTATTCGTTGTGTAAACTATCATGATTGTTTTTATTTTGTATTATTCTTTCTCATCTTCCTCAATGCTTAACATCTATGGGGAACCAGTGATCTAAACAAATTGTTAAAAACTTCGGATCCATTAATTCTGAATTGGATTATTGTTTATGCTTTCTAGAAATGGCAGAGAGACACAAAGCCAAGCAAGTGCTGAAGATAGCCAGAGATCTAGTTCACAAACTACAGACCCTGATAGACAACAAGTGATTCTAGTGATAATAACAACAGCCATGTACCCAGAGGATCTACGGTGGCCATCTGCTATACAACAAGTCATCATGAGAAGACAAACCACTGACAGCATATATTATAGAATAGCATTTCAACAAAGCTAGTTTGTCGCAGTAATTTGCATTTAAGACCTAAAGTAACAGTAAATGTGAACTCATCTGGTCCCAGTTAAGATGAGATGGTGAATTTAAAATACAACACCTGTTTGATTCTCTGAAGGCCACTCCACCTAGTAACTCTGATTCTTCAGGTTAGGATAAGATTGTTGTCGAGATCTCTCCACATCAGTCATTTGAAGACTTCTGTACATAAAGACAATTTGATTGTACAGTGTCTGTCACTGGTTTTAACTTGTTAAAAAGACACATTGAATTGTTTTGACATATGTTGATGGGTTTAATGGATACTATTTATCTGTTCTACCAAAGAGGACAACGTGCAATATGTGTTTAATATTATAGAAATCCAGTATGTAGATATGTTGATCACTGCAGTAAAATCTCTACTTAGTTGACGGCTGTTTATTTAGCAGAGATTTCACCAGGGTGTTAGGATCCTTTGGATTGTGAAATGATGTTTTCATGCTACATAATATGTATATGATTATCATTACCAAATATTGTATAGACTTCAATTCTCAGAAATATGCATTTATTGAATACAAAAAAGATTGAAATAGCACAAAAATATGTATATATATATATGTATGAATGAATGTATGTGTGGACAGTTTGTTGAGGCTTAAGTTGTAATATATCGGAAAGATGATGCTTAAACAAAGCTGTACACACTTGCCTGCTAGGGGGCAGCACATCATTTCTGGAAAGATCCGTACACATCAGAAATCTGCTAGAGAGCAGCACTGTACCTTATTGTGTTTCTGGGAAGATTCCAAACAAATTAGAAGCCTACTAGAGGGCAGTACTGCCTGAACATTCTTGGATGATCCCTAACACATCAGCAGCCTGTTAGAGGGCAGCACTATATTGTATTTCTGGGATGATTCCAAACACATAAGAAACCTGCTAGAGGGCAGAACTGCATTAACATTCCTTGGATGACCCCAACACATCAGCAGCCTGCTAGATTGCAGTACTGCATGGTGTTTCTGGGAAGATCCCAAACACATATGAAGCCTGTTAAAAGGGCAGCACTACATTCCTGGTTTGGTCTCTAAAACTCCAGAACCTGCTACATGATATTACACTACATTCCTTCAAAAGTCCATTGCACATTAGAAATCATGATTGCTGCCAGCATATAAACTCATACATTCTATAGATTATTAGCTGTTGATTATTACTTAAAATTATTTTTACCAATATAAATTTATTTAATATCAATAGTTTATAGATAATTTAATAATTTAAATAATAAATTAACAATGATTTATTTGATATAGATTTGAGTGATATTGGCGTAGTGCAATATTGTTTGGTTATGAAGATTGTGTTTTCAGCTTAAACTCCAGTTGTAATCAAGATGCATGTTTCTTTGAAATATTGTCTTTATTTATAGTTGATAAGAAAATTCATTGTTTTATTGCAAACGAAAAAAGTGATAATGATGACCAGAATGTATTACTGATGGGTAAAGTTAGGCTTGTAATAACTACTCCTCAACAGACCTTCCTTGTGAATCTGTATGTATAATATGTATTTCTGTAAAACAATTGGAGTTTGTCAGTTGAAATGATATCAGGATTTTAAAAAAATGTTTGTTTCTCTATACATTATATATAAAGGATATATTTCTATCGCAGCTGAACCAGTCCCCTATTTACACATGTTATTTTGGTGACAGTTTGTTACATTTGTGTACTGTTATTTATACATATGTATTCCTGTATTTATCTGGTTGTGAGATTTGAACATTTTTAATATAACTTATTTGAAGTCTCTGAGTTAGGAGAGATACATAATGTTTGTTTCAACTTATAAAAAATCCTGCTTTAATGGAGGGGAAATAACTCTTCTTGATAATGTATCAATGTATATATATGCTTGTCATTCAATTGCACAAATAAATTGAGTTTTTTTATACTTATTTCAATAGATGACATTGTAAAGGATTTATATAATTTAAATTTTGTTGAGTTGCCAAAATATTTATCAACTGATCATGATTGTTAATGTGTTTTTTTGTGAGATCACTATTTCTTCATTGAAGTATGTAATCCAGTTTATGATGAGGTCTGATTCATTGCTTCCTACAACCATGATTTCACTCATTTTTTAATGTCTCTAAATAAAACAGTGATATATGTTACTGTTCAGATCGAACTAAAATATCCCACTTGATTTAATTCACCATTATCAGCACATCGCCTGCCTTAATCTACATGTTTGTAAGTCTACATGTGTTTAGTGCCATTATGTAGTTCCTTGTCATATCTTTAAATGCTGATCTGGTGAAATGATTATACAATGATAGTTGATCATAGTTACCACCTAACATCAACATTATCTTTAACACAGGAATGCTCTTGCCCAGAATAATACATGTGATACAGTGTTGTTAGTAATTTCAGCAGTTAGAGTCCAATATATTTGATAAGATATGATTAATCCCTGTCATAAATATGTCTCAATGATTAAATTGGTATGCCCCTAGAATGGCTTGTAAAACTAAGACAGGTGTGATGTCACATTGACTAAGACAGGTATGATGTCATTGACAAAGACAGGTATGATGTCACATTAACAAAGACAGGTATGATGTCACATTAACAAAGACAGGTATGATGTCAAATTAACAAAGACAGGTATGATGTCATATTAACAAAGACAGGTATGATGTCACATTAACAAAGACAGGTATGATGTCACATTACCAAAGAAAGGTATGATGTCACATTAACAAACACAGGTATGATGTCACATTACCAAAGACAGGTATGATGTCACATTACCAAAGACAGGTATGATGTCACATTAACAAAGACAGGTATGATGTCACATTACCAAAGAAAGGTATGATGTCACATTAACAAACACAGGTATGATGTCACATTAACAAACACAGGTATGATGTTACATCAACAAGGACAGGTATGATGTCACATTAGCAAAGAAAGGTGTGATGTCACATTAACAAAGACACAAAGATAGATATGATGTCACACTGACTAAGACAGGTATGATGTCACATTAGCAAAGACAGGTGTGATGTCACATTAACAAAGACAGGTGTGATGTCACATTAACAAAGACAGGTGTGATGTCACATTAACAAAGACAGGTATGATGTCACATTAACTAAGACAGGTATGATGTCACATTAACTAAGACAGGTATGATGTCACATTTACGAGGGCAGGTGTGACATCACTTACTGAAAGTGTTTCTTAGTTCTAGCAATAGGTGTGCGCAAATGCTGCCATGAAAAGTGTTGTTGTGAGTGAGCAATGACATGGAAATATATATCACATCGATAATTAAACAAACTTGTAAGTTCTTTAAAACTGAGATATTTCATTTTCAAAAAATGAGGTATGTAATGATCAAAATAATGTTTTTCATGTATTTGATCTTGTCCTCCCTCTTAAATCACAAAAGTCTGTTGATGTCTCAGATTTGGATCAATCCATGGATGGAACTGTTATGTAACAAAGTTGATGGATTATGACAAAACAATTGATAGCTATAAAGATAAATGAAGGTGATGTTGAAATGTAATGTGATATATACGTATTAGATTGTATATATACCTGTACATACAATGGAGATATATTTATTGTATAAACACATAATCCTATTTTATTTTGGTAGCCATGTACATAAGGTGGTGTACGTGTGTCGGTTGAGACTGTTGTATATACTGTGGTATAGCATCAAATGAATGTCTTGTGATATATTGTATTATACCTGGTAGGCTAAATCTCCTTTATGTTTGATTACCTTATAAGTCAAACAAAATAAATATTGTCTACAAAATATATCAATATAATAATAAAAAGTATGACATTTTACCGATATGTAAATTTTGAAATCAAATATACAATGAAAACAATCAGAATACAAATTTCATATCTTGTTTCATACAAATACATACAAATGCGTACAAATATATACAAATACGTACAAATACATACAAATACGTACAAATACATACAAATATATATACAAAATGTCTGATAAGACTGATATCAGTGTCCGCATCTAAAGGAAGTTTGAAAAAAATTGGAATATGAAATGAAGGTGTACTTACTTTTGTTGTTCAATGTTGAATTATTAAATATCTTAGGTTAATACATGTACGTACATTGTACTTTATTTTTTGTGAGGAAGTTGTGAGGTCATTATTTGTAAAATGGTGTACATTGGTGATGATAAAGAATCTGTCGAAAGATTCTAAACAGACCGGTTCATTTTACTTAAAGCAGATTTACTTCATGAAGTCATATCAAAGTACACATTTACAGAAAATTTAATATTATTGCCAAAACAACTGTAACATCAAGTATGTTCTTATTCCAGAGTCCACTTCTCTATGATAACAGAAAGGGTAGACTGGGGAAGGGGGCTCCTCTGTACCAGTAGTTCACTCCACTTCTCTGTGACTACAGATAGGGTAGACTGGGGAAGGGGGCTCCTCTGTACCAGTAGTTCACTCCACTTCTCTGTGACTACAGATAGGGTAGACTGGGGAAGGGGGCTCCTCAGTACCAGTAGTTCACTCCACTTCTCTGTGACTACAGATAGGGTAGACTGGGGAAGGGGGCTCCTCTGTACCAGTAGTTCACTCCACTTCTCTGTGACTACAGATAGGGTAGACTGGGGAAGGGGGCTCCTCTGTACCAGTAGTTCACTCCACTTCTCTGTGACTACAGCTATTGATGGGTTGGTCACAAACAGAGAGAGATAATAGTCCAATGTTAATTGTTAGTAATATATATTATTTTTCTAACTTGTTTTATTTGTTTTCAAATTTGTACTCATGTTGTTTATATTATTGTAGATCATTCCTATAATCTA